GACCCGCCCGCGCGTGGGTCACCCGATCGCGCGCGCGCGCGGACGCACGCGTGGCGAGTTTTGCATTGCCCACCATGGGAAAGTCGCCATGATGGCTTGGAAATCAAAGCGGACCGAACCCTTAAGAGTGACGGAGTGGTCTTTGAAACGAACCTGTTTTCTATACAGAGACATGGTCGAGTATAGAAAAGTGTTTGCATGTGTGTATCAACTTTTCCAAATATGTAGAAGAGTCGCCATATTGGCCTGGGGCCAAAGTCATCTCTTATTGGTGACCGAGGACTTCGAAGTAAACCTGAGGTTCTCATCGGTTCCAACATTTAAAAAATCAAATGTTGGCCCAGACACGAGAATTAATCCTTAACGGTGGCCGATTGGACTTTGAACCGAACATGCGGTTGTCAACCTTTTCAATAATCGAAGCGTTGCCTACCAAACCGGGCCCTGAATTATGGCCGAGTGACATTTGAAGTTAACCTGCGTTTTCAGACGATTTCAAGATAGGAGAAGTGGCCATGTTGGCCCGGATTCTAAGTTCAACCCTTCGCGGTGGCCGACTGGGTCTTGAAACCAACGTGTGTTTTGTACAGTGTTTCCAAGAATAGGTCAGATGTTTTTTGGTTTGGAAACTGCAGTGTGCACTTACTTGTCACCGATTGGATTGTGATTTTCATTTGCGTTTTCAGCGTTTTCGAGAACAGAAAAGTCGCCATGCATGTGGGGAAAGTGTGTGAGCATCTTTTCATGTGAATTGCCATATAAAGTGTTCCGTTTCGATCTGGGAGTTTGCTCAATCTCGCCAGTGTTGGCAGAACTCCTGTTGGCGCCTGGTTTGCGCGCGCGGCGACATGATATTAGTTCCCCTCTGTTTGGGGATTATTTCTCCAGCGGGTTCATCCATTGTGGGCGAGCCTGCGCGCGGAAGGATTAGTGAGCATCTTCTCATGAAGATTGCAATTTGCAATAGGAGTTGCTTCGCTTTGGGTTGCTAGTTTTCGCAAAGTCGCTTGCCTAGCACTGCTGGCAGAACTCCTGCTGGCGACTGGTCGGCGCGCGCGGCGACGTTGGAGCATATGCCCTCTGTTGTTGGGTGGGTTGGATTCTGTTTGTGACAGCGGATTAATCCATTGTGGGCGACCTCGCACGCGGGAGGATTTGTGGGCATCTTCCCACGAGGATTGCAGTAGGAGCTGGTTCGCTGCAATTTGCGAGTTTGCTCAAACTCGCCTGCCTCGCGCTGCCGGCGGAACTCCTGCTGGCGCCTGGTCGGCGCGCGAGGCGATATGGGATTAGTTTCCCTCTAGTGTTGGGCGGGGTGGAGAATGTTTGGGCCTTCGTTTCCCAACGGACTGATTCATTGTGGGCAATCCTGCACGCGGGAGGATGCGTGAGCATTTTCTCACGAGGACTGCAATATAACAGTGTTTCGTATTGGATTGGGATTTGTTTTTCAAATTTGCTTTCGTGATACTGCTCGCAGAACTCCTTTTCGTGCCTCGTCGGCGCCGGTGGCGACGTGGAGTTTCCGTCGGCTCTCGTGGGGCTTGAAATTCAACCATCTTTTCGAGGATAGAGCATATGAGAGTGGAGTTTCAGCGGGTTTCGTGGGGCCTGAGCTTCAACAGTATTGCTGGGGATAAAGCTTCTGGGGATGAAGCGTTTGAGGATGGAGTTTCTGAAAGCCCGCGCGGGGCCTGAGCTTCAACAGTCTCTTATGGATGGAGCTCTCAGGAAAGAGCTTCTGAGGATCAAGTTTCTGAACCAAGATTTTCCACGATAGCGCCCCTGAGGCATAGTGACTAACTAGTAGTCGTCGTAATCATAGTTGCCATCGTAGTCGTAGCTGCTGGCGGGTGCTGCGGGGAACAAACAAGGGGCACGCGTGCCAAGGATCATACAATGACGATGTGGGTCCATGGGCGATGGAGAAAACCAGGGATCGCGAGGGAGGCAGTCCTTGGCAGGCGCCGGGAAGCGCGCCGCAATTGCTGCGACACGTTGGCAAGGGGCAGATTCGAAGACGGGAAGGGGCGGCTAGAAGCATGTCAGTTTGGGTATGGAGGAAGGTCGCTTGTCCTCTGTCTCGTCCTCCTTCTCCCCCTCCTCACCTCCACTTTCTCCTGTCCCGCCTCTCTTCCTCCTCCTGGTTCTCAACCTCCTCCTTGTCCCCCCCCTCTCTCCACCTTCTGGGGCGGTGCGGCGCGTGGCGGCGGAGTCGCCCTCGCCGTCGGCATGCGGCCGGGCACGCTGCGTCCTCGTCCTCCTCCTTCTCGTCCTCCTCCTCCCCCTCCACCTCCGCCTCCTCCCCCTCCCCCTCCGCTTCCTCCTCCGCCTCACCGTCCTCGCCCCCGACCCGAGGCTGGCCGGGGAGCGGGGGGGGGGGGGCACGGTCGGTCGGAATAAAGGGAGGGGGCGCAGGGGGGGAGGGGGGGGGGCCCACGGTCGGTCGGAATAAGGGGAAGGGGGCGCAGGGGGGGAGCGGAGGAAAGGGCCCGCGTCGGTCGGAATAAGGGAGAGGGGGCGCAAGGGGGGAGGGGGAGGGCACGGTTGGTCGGAATAAGGGGACGGGGGCGCAGGAGCGGGGGGGGGGGGCACGGTCGGTCGGAATAAGGGGAAGGGGGCGCAGGGGGGAGCGGGGAGTGGGCCCATGGTCGGTCGGGGGGGGGGGCGCCGGGGGGGGGGCACGGTCGGGAATAAGGGGAAGGGGCGCAGGGGGACGGGGGGGTGGGCCACGGTCGGAATAAGAGGAGGGGGCAGGGAGGAGCGGGGGGGGTGGCCCACGGTCGGTCGGAATAAGGGGACGGGGGCGCAAGGGAGAGCGGGGGGGGGCACGGTCGGTCGGAATAAGGGGAAGGGGCGCAGGGGGGGCGGGGGGGGCCCACGGTCGGTCGGAATAAGGGGAGGGGGGCGCAGGGGAGGAGCGGGGGGGGTGGCCCACGGTCGGTCGGAATAAGGGGACGGGGGCGCAGGGGGGGAGCGGTGGGGGGGCCACGGTCGGTCAGAATAAGGGGAGAGGGGCGCAGAAGAGGAGCGGGGGGAGTGGCCCACGGTCGGGCGGAAGAAGGGGACGGGGGCGCAAGGGGGGAGCGGGGGGGGGCCCACGGTCGGTCGGAATAAGCGGAGGGGGGCGCAAGGGGGGAGCGGAGGGGGTGGCCCACGGTCGGTCGGAATAAGGGGAGGGGGGCGCAGGGAGGGAGCGGGGGGGGTGGCCCACGGTCGGTCGGAATAATGGGAAGGGGGCGCAGGGGAGAAGCGGGGGGGGTGGCCCACGGTCGGTCGGAATAAGGGGAGGGGGGCGCAGGGGGGGAGGGGGAGGGGCCAGCACGACCACCAGCACGACCACCAGCACCTCCACCAGAACGGCCAGCAACACGACCGCGAGCACGACCACCAGCACGACCACCAACACGACCACCAGCACCTCCAGCACGGCCAGCCACCAGCACGACCACCAGCAGAACCACCAGCACGACCACCAGCACGACCACCAGCACCTCCACCAGAACGGCCACCAACACGACCGCCAGCACGACCACCAGCACAAGCACCGGCACGCCCAGCCACAAGCACGACCACCAGCACAACCACCAGCACGACCACCAGCACGATCACCAGCACGACCACCAGCACCTCCACCAGAACGGCCACCAACACGACCGCCAGCACGACCACCAGCACAAGCACCAGCACGACCACCAGCACGACCACCAGCACGACCACCAGCACGGCCAGCCACCAGCACCTCCAGCACGGCCAGCCACCAGCACGACCAAGCACGACCACCAACACGACCACCAGCACCTCCAGCACGGCCAGCCACCAGCACGACCACCAGCACAACCACCAGCACGACCACCAGCACGACCACCAGCACGATCACCAGCACCTCCACCAGAACGGCCACCAACACGACCGCCAGCACGATCACCAGCACAACCACCAACGCGACCAGCCACCAGCACGACCACCAGCACAACCGCCAGCACGACCACCAGCACGACCACCAGCCCAGCACGACCACCAGCACGACCACCAGCACGACCAGCCAGCAGCACGACCACCAGCTCGACCACCAGCACTTCCCAGCACGACCACCAGCACAAGTACCAGCACGACCACCAGCACGACTGCCAGCACCTCCACCAGAACGGCCAGCAGCACGACCACCAGCACGACCACCAGCACGTCCACCAACCACGACCACCAGCACGGCCGCCAGCACAACCACCAGCGCGACCGCATTATGGGCACACGGTCGGTCGAAATAAAGCAGTGCGAGATCACACCGGTAGGTATGATGATAATTAGTTTCCCCTATTGGTGGAACACCGATCCGTGAATAAGGCCGCCGATAGAAAATATTACACCTTATTGAGGGGGGTCTACAAGACCCTTCGCGGTTAGGCCGCCAGGCCGATTCACGATCGAACCCGCTCGGCGGCCGAGCAGGCTCAGTTCCCATCGCCGCATTGGCGAGTGAGCCCCTTTTGGCTGCCCGTTTTGCGTCCGACTTGGCTCAGACGCCGTCAGAGCCCATCCGGCCGCCGGACCGACCCACGATCGAGGCCTGTCGGCGGCCGAGTTGGCTCAGGCGCCGATTAGTCATTGAAAGGATCCGTGGGGGATCCTGCGGGAAAGGGGTCCTCCCAACAGTGTTCCACGAGGGAAGAAGGCGGCATGACGACGTGTGCTCGGTCCCTCATCGTGGCGGGCAGCGAAAATACTGCGACGCGGCAGCCTCCATGGATAATTATGGAACGACCCAGACATCCACCGCTGCGTTTTGTTCAATCCGCGGCCCCAGAAGTCTTGACCCCTCCCGGGGGGGGGGTAGTCTTGCGCCCGGGGTCCAGTCGTGCTGGTCCAAGGCCCAAGAGGCCCGAATCGTGGCAACTCGCCCGGATTGAAAAACGCATCTCCTCGGGGAACCTGGATGCTGACGCTGCCGCCGGCGTGCCTTCGCTTCGCCCGCGGCCGCTTGACAGACGTGGCGCCCCGAGGCGCGGGCGCCGCGATCTCTGCGCTGCGCTGGGCCTCGGTGCCGGACCGGCGCCTGGCCTCCGCGGAAGACCGGGACGCGCAGGAGTCGCCGCCATTGAAGAATTTCAGTTGGTCTTTAGTTTTGCACGCCCCCCCCCCCTTTTTTCTTTCTGCGGGGAACAGACTCCGCCCCTCCTCTTCCTTCTCCTCCTCCTCTTCCTCCTCCTCCCCCCCTCCTCTGTCGTCTTTGTTGCGCGGCGGGTTTTTGTGTTTGGTGGGACTCCAGTCCATCGAAGATGGCGTCGAGATGATATTCAGTTTCCACTACACCACCGTGACGAAAGAATTTTCAATCTGCCTTTGCCAATCGCGCATCAGCGCAGAGTAGTTCGGAGTAGAAGTACTCAAACTATTCCGCTCGTTGGCGCATCCCGCTTGATAACTCATAGGGTGTGGAGCGGATTAGTTTATAATCCGGTTTTGGTGTAACAGAGTTATTGGAGGTTGGGGGGTGAGTCCGACGTGAAACGGAGACCCCCCGGTTCGCGTCGTGCGTGCCGTGCGTGCGTGCGGGCGAGGCGAAGGTGCGTGGGCGGGCGAGAGGAAACCCTCCTGTGGCTGGGCCGCGGCTGGACCAAATGTTTCTCCTCCGGCGACCGGTGGCCCGTGGTGTCCCGCCGGTGTCCCGATGGTGTTCCGAAATTTTCCTGTGGCTGGGCCGCGGCCGGACCAAATGTTTCTCCTCCGGCGGCCGGTGGCCCGCGGTGTCCCGCCGGTGTCCCGCTGGTGTCTCGTGGTGTCCCGTGGTGTCCCGTTGAGTGAGATCGATAGTGAGATCGACATGTGTCCCGTGGTGTCCCGTTGAATGAGATCGATCGTGAGATCGATACTGAGATCGATGTGGTGCCCCGAGGTGTCCCCTGGTGTCCCGCTGAGTGAGATCGAAGTGAGATCGATAGTGAGATCGACAGGTGTCCCGAGGTGTCACGTCGTGTCCCGTTGAGTAAGATTCATAGTGAGATCGATCGTGAGATCGATAGTGAGATCGATGTGGTGTTGCGAGGTGTCCCGTGGTGTCATATGGTGTCCCGTTGAGTGAGATCTATAGTGAGATCGATAGTGAGACCGATCGTGAGATCGAGAGGTGTCCCGCCGTGTCCCGTGGTGTCTGAGATCGATCGTGAGATGGACAAGTGTCCCGTGGTGTCCCGTTGAGTGAGATCGATAGTGAGATCGATTGAGTCAGATGTTTGTTCCCCTGTTCCCCCCTCTCCCCCCCCACAACCTCCTTATCACCCGAAGGGTGGTCGGAAACTACTCCGCCGAATGTCGCCGTCATCATATCATGTTAGGAAATTGTTAGAGGGATTGGAAATATTAGCATCATGGCAAATTGAAGTGTCCCGGCTGCGTATTGGGGGGGATTCGAAAGACCTATAGAGGTTAAGTCCGCCAGTGATGGGCCACACGTCGGTCGGGCGCGTTTGCTTAGCGTGTCGCGCCGCTGGTTCTGGCCCGCCACGCCTCGGCGCGACACGCCAACCGGACCGCGTCCCCGTTTCCAAGCGTCAGTGCCCCCAGTCCTTCCGGCCCCCCCGCATCGCGGAGCGGGCAGGCACGCTGTCCGCTTGCAGGACATGGCGTGTCGCTGTGGCCGCCGCCGCGACACGCGGAGCAGAAGTTCCCACCGCAGGGGGGGAGAGGCGCAATGGGGGGATGTTGCAACGTTAGGGGTGGATGCGCTCAGAGAGTTCTCGAACAGTGTCTGCAGTCTTCGTAGGTTGTGGATCCCAGGTGGTTTCCATGAGCTGTGCCTCGTCGAGAGCGTTCCAGAGGTGCCCAGATCGTCCCGTACGGCCGCAGAAGGCTCGTGTGCATCGACCCCCAATCGTCCGTTCATCGCCGATATGTGCCCGATAGCCAACCCCACCCAGGAACGGGCGTTTTCGATATTGAGAGCCTATCGCCAATCCACCGTGGATTTATCACCGATTCCAGCTCAATGTTTCCCCATTGAGCTGGTCCCCCCACTCGTTGCACCTCACTTTTGAGTCCGTCTGGCGTGTGGTTACGCTTCCCAGACCCCCTCGCATCGTGTCAAAATCACGAGGGAAGGTTTGATTTACCATTCGGCCCCAGGCGCCCTCGCTTGGCCCGTCAAAAAGAATTCGGGATCTGAGAAGCTGGCCCCAGGGATGGGTCGAGACACGTCGAGACCTCTGGAGGTTCATGTCGAGAAAACATCACGACGCGGGGGTCTGGGTCGACCGCCGAGCGGGCTCGAGTATGCGCCCGCTCGGCGGCCAGATAGTCTCAGGCGCTGGCGTGCCTCAGACGCCGTCGGCGGCCCATCAGGTCGCCGGGCCAGTCCACGATCGAGCCCGCTCGGCGGCCGAGCAGGTTCCGTTCCCATCGCCGTATTGGCGAGTGAGCCCCTTTGGCTGTCCGTTCGGCTTCCGACTTGGCTCAGACGCCGTCAGAGCCCATGCGGCCGCCGGGCCAACCCACGGTCGAGGCCTGTCGGCGGCCGAGTTGGCTCTGGCGCCGATTGGTCACAGAAAGGATCCGTGGGGGATCCTGTGGGAAAGGGGTCCTCCCAACAGTGCTCCACGAGGGAAGAAGGCGGCATGACGACGTGTGCTCGGTTCCTCATCGTGGGGGGTAGCGAACAAATTGTGAGGCGGCAGCCTCCATGGATGATTATGAGACCACCCAGACATCCACCGACGCGATTTGTTCAATCCGCGGCCGCAGAAATCTGGACCCCTCCATGGCGGGGTAGTCCTGTGCCAAGGATCCATTTCTGATGGTCCGAACGTGCAGGTGAAGCATTTAGGACGAGCGGGGTTTGCTGTTGGAGGTCTTCCAGGCGAACTGCGACGTGAGCACTCCCGTGGCTGAGTGCATGGAGCTGATGACTCTAGAGATGTTGCGCGCGCGCCACTCTGGCAACGGTTCCCAGGGTGCTTCGGTTGCAGATGAAACATTGGCCTAATGTTTGAATTTCTTTCCTGATTTCTCGAAGGTTGTCGTACCAGCAAGAGTTCGCAGTGCCATAATATGTTCGCATCGTTTTGCCGATGAGAAAACGTAATCGGCCTCCAAAAGCCGAGCGCATCAAGAAATTGGCGCGGTGCCCGTATCTGTAGGATGCCCGTATCTGCAGGCCTGGGGGCATTATCTAGGGGAGCAAGATGTTCTACGGCCAGGGTCCATTCGGCGTCGGAGCCCGTTCGGCCGCATGACCGACCCGCGATCCAGCCCGCTCGGCGGCCGATTGGACTCAGCTCCCGTCGCCATGCTGGGGACCGTCCCTTTTCGGCGGCCGAGTGGACTCAGACGCCGCTTGGGCTCGGCAGGGGGCCCCGACCTCCGACGTCGTCCGGGTGCACCTCCAGAGGTCTGGACGCCTCCCCTTCGGGGCCCGCCTCTGAGGCAGATGTTCTGTAGATTCTGGCGACTGGGCTTTCATGGAGGGGGCCTGTCGGCGATCTGTCGGCGATGTATCATCGGATTCGAGCTCCATGTTTCCCCTGCTGAGCTGGTTCCCCCCTGTCGTGCCCTCTCACGCCATGGGGTATTCCCACATTTCGCGTGGGAGAGGGTTCCAGCGCCGACGCAGGAGTCATTTTTTCCTTGGGCTCTGGCGAGTTTGCTTGCATGGAGGTTGGTGGGGGGGGCGCGTCGAGGCCTGACAAGAAATCTGGATTTTACGCAGGTCGGGGCTCATTCGCACGCCTTTTCGCCCCCCGCGCTGTTTGAGAAGGCTGCGGAAGAGGGGGAGGATGCCATGCAAGTGAGCTTGCCTGAGTCTAACAAAAAAACAAACCTCTATCGTTCTGAGCCGTGTCGTTGACGGCCTCGGGGCCCAGATGGCCCCCGTAGCCCAAGCGCGAGGAGGTCGGGGGGGCCCAGACCCTGAGATCCGACAGATCGGGGGAACTCACAACTGGAGCCGTACCTGTCTGCTGCGTTCGTCGAGCCGAATCGATCCGCGAGAGTCATGGGGCCCGAAAAAAGACGAGATCGGCGGGTGCGAAGAAAAGGCGGCGCCAGGAGCTCGGCGTGGGCTCAGGCGCTGCTTGGCTCAGAAGGGCCACTCCTAGCGGGAGACTTCGGGCCGGGCTAGGATACCGACGTTTAGACCATGCCCGCACTCATCTGAGCGCGGCAGGCTTATTGTTTGTTTCATATGCCATGCCCCCCTGGCGCCCAGACTGGGGGGCATCAGCAGGGGCACCCAGACACCCGAGGCCGTGTTTCTCTTGACAGCGTCGACTCCCAGAGGTCTCGACCCATTCCTGGGGACTGGTTTCTCGGCGCGCCCCAGGAGGCCGAACAGAGCGAAGCAAGCCCCGTTCACCCCCTCCCTCTCTACGCATGCTTCTGTTGGGATTTCCTCGTCCCCCCTCCTCCTCCGAGGCCGCCCAACGCTTTTCCACCCGCTCTAGCGTGCCCAGAAAACGGCGCGGCCCGTGGGCTCGTTTGGCAGCCGGGCGCCTTGTTTTTAGAGTGTGCTAGCGTCGATTGGAGTCGCTAGCGCCGACTGAGCATCTATGGATGTCGGCTAGCGTTTTTCAGCGTCGATCCGCAAGAGCCAGCCACATGGCATGGGAGGCTCCCATTAGTTACCGCAGAAGGCTCTGCAGTGGCTCTCGTGTTCGCCAGCGCCACCAACGCAACAAGTCTCTGCTGGGGTCGAACGTCGATCACCGATGGGCGGGCGTCCGCTCGGCGCCGCCCCCCCCCGCTGTTGAAGCCGTGCCTGCGCCGCCCCCCAGGAGCGCCGGGCCGCCGGCGCCTCGGCGGCGGCGGCTCCGAAGGGTCTGAGGAGAATGCGTGGCATCGCTCACACGTGTGCGTTGCTTCTCGTCGAGGGCCATCGAGGAGCATCGAGGGTCGTTTTGCGAAGAAAAGAAGCTACCCAAATCGAAACATGCACAGGGAATGGACGGCCGAGCGATAGCGAGGGACGGCGACCCCCAGGTTCGAGGATCGAAGTTCGAGGATCGAGGTTCGGACTTCGAGCGTCCAATACCGATGATCGATTCTCGACGGATATAGGAGCGAAGTTCCTGTATGGAGGGATAGAGGTTCGACCCTCAAGGGGCAGAGTATCCAAATTCGAGGATCGAGCATCGAACTTTGAGGATCGCGGCGCAGAGGATCGACCATCGATGGATAGAGGAGCAAAGGTCGAGGATCGAGCTTCGAGGATCGAGGCATGAAGCATCGACCCTCGAGAGACAGATGATCGAAGGTCGAGGAGGGTCGAACTTCGAGCATCGAGTTTGTTGGCAGGTCTTCGCCACTTCTGAGATGTGCTGGAAATCCGTCGGCGCCACGATGCGGCCCTGCGCTGAGGGGCTGACGGCTCCCGCCTTCCAGCGCAACCCGGTGGAGGAGACCCAGACATCTGACTACTTGATTTTTATCAGTGCGCGGCCCAAGAAGTTCCGACCCCTTCCCCGAGGGTTTCACGCCGATGGCGCCGATGGATCACCGACGTCCCCGATGCGTCGCCCATGCGTCGCCGATGCATCGGCGATGCGGCACGATTATGCGACCCCGTCTACCCAGACCCCATTTGAGCGACGGAACAGCACGGAGTCGATTGCTTGGACATTCGCGCGCAGGCATCCTACGTAAGGGCGTGCGGAAGCGCCCTCATCTCCGGGCGGTGTGTCGCCATGTCATCGCGCGTGGAAAAAACAACAACAACAAATTGTGAAAGAAAACGCCCACGCACACCGTGTGTGTTTTTTCCACGGCGGTGTTTTTTTGGATTGTTTTTGTTCCTCTGAACCTCTTCCTCTCGCCACTCATGAGGAAACCTGCGCTCCCACACGGCCGTCGCCGAGGCCCCCGCCCTGCCGAGGCCGACGTCCCGTGGGCCGTGCTGAGCGCCCACCCGCCTCCATGAGGCCGACCGGCCCTCATAAAGCTCCGACCGAGCGGACCCCCGACAGATCCTCGACGCGCGCCGCCACCCGCCGCCACCGATCGAATGACCAGTCCTCGAGGGCAGCGAATATCGGAAAGAGCGCGTTCTGTGGTCGCTTGGAGGGGGGGGGATTGGACCTGGCCCCCCCTCCCTCCCATGACGGAGGGGGCGGAGGGGGTTCGAACCCCCCCCCCCCTCCTCCTTTCTCCCTCCCCTCGGGCCACGCGCGCTCCCTCCCCTCGGGCCAGCGCGCGTCGCTGGCGTCGGCTCGGGCCAGCGCCTGCGTCGGCGGCGGCTGGCGGCGGCGGCGGCGGCGGCGGGGACGACGATTTTCTTGTCTTGGCCGGCGCTGGCGCGATGTCCTTTTCTGGGCCAGCGTCGGCACCTGCCGCGGCGGGCGGTGGCGGCGGGGAGCGTCGACGACGACGGTGGTGGTGGTTGTGTGGTGTGGTGGTGGTGGTGGTGGGTGGTGGTGGTGGCGGTGGTGGTGGTTGTGTTGTGTTGTGGTGGTGGTGCTTGTGGCGGTGGTGGTGGTTGTGTGGTGGTGGTGGTGGGTGTGTGGTGGTGGTGGTGGTGGTGGTGGTGGTGTGGTGGTGGTGTGGTGGTTTGTGGTGGTTGGTTGGTGGTGGGTGTGGTGGTGGTGGTGGTTTGGCGTGGTGGTGGTTTTGTGGTGGTGGTGGTGGTGGTGGTGGTGTGTGGTGGTGGTGGTGGGTTGTGTGGTGGCGGTGGTTTGTGGAGGTGGTGGTGGTGGTGGCGGTGGTGGTGGTGGTGATGGCGGTGTGGTGGTTTGTGTGGTGGTGGTGGTTGTGGCGGTGGGTGTGCTGCTGGTTAGTGGTGGTGGTTGTGGCGGTGGTGGTGGGTGGTGTGGTGGTGGTGGTGGTGTTGTGGTGGTGGGGTTTTGTGGTGGTGGTGGTGGTGTGATGGTGAGTTGTGGTGGTGGTGGTTGTGCTGGTGGTGGTGGCTGTGTGTGGTGGTGGTGGTGGTGGTGGTGTGGTGGTTGGTGGTGGTGGTTGGTTGGTGGTGGTGGTGGTAGTCGTGGTGGTCGTCGCCCGCGCCGTCGCCGCGCCAGCCAGCGCCGGCGCTGCTGGCCGCCGCCAGCGCCGGCGCTGGCGCCGGGGGGGGGGGTTTGACCCCCCCCCCCGCCCTCGGCGCAAGGAGGGGGTGGGGGTGTTCGAACCCCCCCCCCTTGGGCTGTCTCTGGTCATCGTCGCTGCGTCCTCGCCGTCGGCGCTGCTGGCGGCCGCCGGCGCTGGGGCCGAGGGGGGGGGTTCGGTTCAAACCCCGCCCCCTTGGGAGGGGGGGGGGGCCTTGGGAGGGGGGAGGGGGCGGGGGGTTCGGGAGGTGGGGGAGTCCCCTCTGGTTTTGATCGACGGCGCCGAGTGTTTGGGGGGGGGCCACCCCCCGGTTTGAAACGCGCCGCCGAATGTTCCCAAAGCAAGCGCCCGTGAAACGCGTTCTCTCGAATATCGCGACGGGAGGTGTTGCCAGTGTTGGGCCTCCGGGGGCCCGCACCAGGCCTCGGGACCGTCAAGAAGCAATCTGGGATGACAAGGCGGTCCCGGCGAACAGGATCCAGCAGACCTCTGGGGGTCGGCGTTGTGGCAAGTCGTGACGTCGGAGTTTTGGGTGCGGCCCCGACCGAGCGGTCGATCGCCGACGACGGCGGCGGCGGCCAGATGCCGTCGCCCTGCGGGCCGCTCTGCGCCGCCATCTGCCAGCCCTCTCCCGGGGCCCCGGAGGCCGGGCTTTGCAGACCAGGCTTCTCGGGGGCCCCCCGGCGGTGCTGTGAACGCACCGTGTGGTGAGTCGGTGGGGGATCTGGGGCGGCCGCACAGTTTTGGGATCTGGGCCGCCCTTCGAGAGAAGGTCTGTCTCGGGCGATTGGGGCCTCCGAGGCCCTTAAAGCATTGCGCCCGGCTGCCGAGGCCGCCCCCCTGCGGGCCGTGCTGCACCGCGACCTGCCGGCCCCGATCGAACGGCCGATCCTCGGCGGCCGAGCCGACGACGGCGGCGGCAGCCGCACTCGGGCAAGGGCTAGGGACCCCTGGGGCCGCGCAACGAAGACATCACATCGCCGGATGGCTGGCTGGATCGGTCGGTTCCCAGCTGGACCGGTCGAGTTGGCGACGGCGGCGAGCTGGAGTTGGCGAGTCGAGTTGGCGACGTCGGCGGGCTGCCGAGGCCGCCGCCCTGCGGGCCGTGCTGCACCGCCACCTGCCGGCCCTCTCCCCGCGCCAGCTCGCGCTGGCGGCCTGGGCCTGCGCGCCCCTGCCGGGACGCGCGGCGGGGGGGCGCGGCAGCGGCCCCGCGGGCGGCCTGCGTGGCGAGGCTCGGCCGCCGCGCGCCGTCTCCCTGTGCCCGCCGGACGCCCGCCGTCGTCGTCCCCTGCAGGTCTGCGACAGCTTGTAGTCGGCTGGGGAGGATCAGCCACGCACAGAAGGGGGTCTGCAACGGCTTCTTAGAAGCACCCCCGCTTTTGAGAAGGCGCGGGCCTTGCCTCTAGATGCGAAGCTGGTGCTTTCGACGAAGCAGCCTGCTTCTGAGAAGCCTTCCCCCCTCCCCAAACTCCCTTGTGCGCGCTGCCAAGAGGACAAGGAGGAAGAGGAGGAGGAGGAGGAGGAGGAGGAGGAGGAGGAAAGAGGAAAGAGAAACGAGGAAATAGGAAAGAGAAAATAGAAAAGAGGAAAGAGGAGGAAGGAAACGAAAGTGGAAGAGAAGGAAATAGGGAAGAGGAACGAAGAGTGAGGAGGGTGCAGGGGGGGAGGGGACAGGGAGGTCGGCTGGTTGGGGGGCGAGTTGGAGGAAGGCGTGGGGACGAGGGAGTGGGGAGGGGCAGGAGCGAGGAGGAGGAGAAGAAGTCTGAGGTGACCGCGCACTGGTTCTGGCCAGCAGGAAGGGGGGGCGAGGTTCGTGTAAGTGTTTTGCCTTTTTCGGTCTCCGGGGAGCGTTTTGGGACATGACCGTCAAAATCGAATACGGCGCGGTCCAGGGACCTATTATCGAGCGGATTTGCCTTTATCCTCCCTTTTGACAGATTTACTCGGGCCCCATCCAGTTCAGACCCCCTGGCCGCCTGCAGGCGACGGCATGTTTTTTCTTGATTTCGGCATCGAGGGCCGAGCAGGTGGTCGAGCCTGACTGGCCTTTCCTGGACCTCCTCGCCGCAACGGCCGGATTCGCTTCGAGATTGTAGCCAGAACGGACCCACGGCGAGGTCTAGAGGTCGATCTTGGAGCCCTGTAACCCAAACCTCCTGCGGATCGAATTCTTTCAGTCGCGGCGCGTTTCCTTGATTTCAGCCTCGCGGCTACTCAGTGGGCCCTGGGGCCATCAGAGACGGATCTGGTACGAGAATCTGTCCCGCAGGGGGCGGCCCAGGACATCCGGGGCCAGGGCTTATCATCGCGCCGTGGGATGTTTTGTGGTGTGTGTGTGTGTGTGTGTGTGTGGGTGCTCGGCCCTCCTCCGCCAGGCACCAGGGCTGCAAAAAGGCGACTCAGGGTAAAAGGCCGGTCGTGGGGAACGCCCTGAGATCCAACGCTGCGAAAAACGACTGGAGCCTTAGACGTTGTTTTCCGAGCCAGGTCGATCCGCGAGGGTCCGGGGGCTCGAAACGTGGCGAAATCGTTGGGTGTGCCAACCATGATCTTGGGTGGGTCGAGACCTCCAGGGTTGCGTTTTGAGGAAATGACGGCGTCAGGGGTCCCGTCCCTTCCCGCTTGGCTTTGTCGGCCCGCCCCGTGGTCCGAATAAGGGCTGCGGTGGCCAGCACCGCCATGCGAGCAGACGCACACCACTCTCCATTGTCTGAGTCAGACAGGGGGAGGTTTCTGCTTTCGATTTTTGATTGCCGTCGACGGGCCTCGCCCTCGGCGGAGGGCGGCGGAGGTAGAAGAACGGCGGGTCCTCTGGCGGAGTGCTGGTGGAAGGAGGCGGTCGCCATGAGGCAAACCGGTCCTCGGGGAAACGTATCGTGAGTTTTTTCGCCGTGTTCGGTCTCCTTCGGGCCCTGGGACTGTCAGAAATCGGCTCACGACGAAGAGCTGGTCCTGGGGGAAGGCAACGAATCCAGGACCTGGTTCCCTCATGACCCGTCTCTTCCCTGCCAAGCAATAGTGAGGCGCCTGGGATTTCTGGAGTCGGCCACACATGTCCACCGCTTGGGGAGCCACCGTCCGAGGACCGACCCCAGGGGGCAGTGGTCATGGATACCTTTGGGCCCCCACGGGGCCTGGGAATATCCATATCATCTATTGCCTTGCTGGGGTCCTCGGGCATCGGTTTCACCCACGGTGAATACGTAGAAACTGCAGCGTCGGGTCGTTATCGCCGCCGCTGTCGTCATCAGTGGCGTCTTTGTCGTTGTCCGCGGCAGCGCCGTCGTCTTTGCCATCCTCCGTAGCATTCATTCCAAAGAATGAGTACTGCTTGTCTAAACGATTTCGCCTCCGCACGGGTTACAATGCCTGTGAAAGCAAGGCTCCCGCTCGAGCGTGGGCTTGATTCAAAATATGCGTGGAGGACCTAATGGCGACGGCAATGGCTCCCGCTCGATGCATCTTCACAAATTACTCAGAGACGCCCTGGTCAGAGACGCTCTCAGCAGGAACGGCGCTTTCGCCCGAAACCTCGCAATCCATCAAGGTTTGTGATGGCCCAATTACGACGACAATGGCTCACGCCCGAGTGTTTCCGGAGACGCCCTGACCGCAGCCGCTTCCTGGTGATTGCCTCTATAGGAGTTGACATGAAAAGAGGACCCCCGCAGGAGGCTGGTCATAGATTTGCAGGCGGGCACAAGGGGGACGGAGACACAAAGGAAGGTCAAAGCAGTTTGGGACATTACGTGTTGGCAAAAGGTCGTCGTCCTGTTCTTGGCCGCCGTGGTCATCGCCGAGGCTGCGTCGTCGTCGGGGGCGGCGTCGTTGCAGTCGTCGTTGCCGTCGTCGCCTGTGGGTCGAGGCTCGGTCGAGGGTCGGGTTTATGTCAGCGCTGTGGGCCCCGCTTGGGTTTCCAGGAGCCTCGCTGTGGTCGCCGGCGTCGGCGTCGCCGGCGAGGATCGAGGGCCGAATTAGTGCTCGTTGTTACCTCGCCGCCTGTCGTCGTCTTCCGCGGCCGGGGCGCGGCGAGGCCGCCCGCGCCGCCGCCGCCGAGGCTGAGGCCGCGCTGTGGAGGCGCGGATGATGGCGACGGTGACGATGACGACGACGACGGCTGTCACGACTACGACCACGATGGTGACGGCGACGGCGACGATGACGACGACCACGACCGTGACGTCGACGATGACTAAGACGACTGCGACGACGACGACTACGACGTCGACTCACGACGACGACGCCGACGACGACGACGGCGTCTGTAACAACGACGGCCACGACGATAGCGCCAACGTCGGCGATGACACGGCTGACGGCGATGTTGACGATGACGACGGCGACGGCTAAGGATCGTCAGGACCTAACCTCATCTTCAAGGTTGCGAGGTGGAGAAAGACGAGGCGGATATTCAGAGCACACCCAGGTTGCATCAGCGATGCTGCAATTTCAATACACCGCCTCATTCCAATTCCCAAGTCCCTTCCTCGCCAGTCCCCGCAATCATCAGTATTGGAATGGCGTTGTACCCTTCTAGCCACAAGGGATGCCCAGCGGTAGGATCATGAAGGCCAAGGCAGTATCCAGTGAGAACCCTGTTTTGACAAGGAGCCGCCCTCTATCTGCGAATTTGTTGCACAGTTTGGCACTTCAAATCACAAGCCAGAACCCCATGTTCAACAGGAGTTGCTCTTCACCCCTGTAGCTGTACATAATGCTGAAATGCGGATCAGAAAGTTTGAGAAAATCTCAAGCCAAAGCCCATCACTGGAAGGATACGCCCTCCTTGCCTAACGACATTTTGAACACGGCCCACAGCCCGTAGCTGTCGGGAACTTTCCAGGCGAACGTTCGCGGCGTATAAGTAGCAATTGGACATTCGAATCTGGAGGCCGTAATGGTTGAGGAATGTGCAGACGAAACACCCGCCCAGCCCTCCTTTCCAACGCGTCTGGTGGCGCGACCCAGACCCCCAACGTCATGATTGTTTCATGACGTGGGCCCCCGAAGGTCTCGACCCGTCCCCCGGGATCAGCTTTTCTTGCGGAGTCGTTTTGTGGACGGTCCTGGGGCCCGGCGAGGGCCCCCAGAGTCGAGAGCAGCCGAGAACTTCCCGTCGTTAATTCTTCACACCCCGGAAGGGTCTGAGGACGAGGAGGAGTGGACTCGCACCATTCAGCAGGCCGGCAGCTGGAGGGAGCCGGGATGGGGCGGGCCGCCACAATCTTGTCGATGCGCGGCCCCACGTGAGGCCCCGACCGCTTCCCTTGGAGTATAGTGTTTCGTCTTAGATCCATGTTTGATGGCCCCGGGGCTTAAGAACTAGCACTGGAGTCCGAAGTCGAGGATGTTTTCTTAGACACACGCAAGTTCAATTGCGTGGCGCCTGCCTCCCCCCTTCCCCCCTCCGCCGCCTTTCCAAGCAACGCTAGGCTGGGTCGAAAAGGCGTGCAAGCCATTCCCAGCTGGCACGAAGTCCTGATTTCCTTCCAGGCCTCTCCACGCCCCACCCCATCCCTCACGCATGCAAGTAAATTTGCCAGGTCCTAAGAAAGACTGCTCCTCCCGGATCCGTTGTTGAAGATCCCGGGGCCTAATAACTAGCCCTGGGGCTGGGAATCGAGGAAGAGAAGCCAGAGTAAACGCATCTTACCGTCTGAGGAGCCCTTCGCGTGCCCCCGGGCTTGAGAAACAGGCGGCTCATGATGAGGGAGCTGGTCAGAACGCAGCCCCGAGGCCCAGGGCCTGGCTTCCCTCATGACCCCCCTTCCTTCTCATGGCCGCTCGTCCTCCCCCACCTCCCCAGATCACTGGATACCAGATTGTTTAGGCGGCGATCGGTAGCGATCGATCGGCACTCCAATTCGGTCGCGACCGATGCCGGAATTTTCATGCAGAATCTGAAGCAAAACAGCCTCCAACGTCGACTCCCAGTGGTCTCGATCCATTCCCCAGGACCAGTTATTTATCCCGAGCCGTTTTTGTTGACAGCCCCGGGGCCCGGCGAGGGCCCTCGGAGGTTGAATAATTAGGAAAACCTCCCGCCGCGATTTCTGTCACGACGCGAGGGGGTATGCGTCGCCCTGCTCCTCGCTGTTGCCGTCGTCCCCGCCGCGCGCACGCTGTTGACGTCCTCCCCGCCGCGTCCTTCCTGGACCCCTCCCGGGGTCCATCTGGTGCAGTTTTTCACCCCCGACCCGCAGTTCCGGAGACCGAAAACGGCCGCTGAAGGCCGCAAAAGGCAAAGCACCTTCCCGAGCCCAGAATTGCGAACCTGCCCGCCCGCGCCCTCCTGCCCGCCGCGCGCGCCAA